TGATACTGAAAATGAAAATGATAGCTTGGGATCCCTGTGCTAGTCCCATGACGCACTGCGTATTGTTTTGGCGGGAAGACTCAAAGTTATGGCGGTGTCACAGGGATTTGTGTTCCCCCGAGTTATGTGTTCCCCCGAACACTGAGCACTAGTGTTTTGTGTTCCCCCCTCCCCTCCCTATGAAACATCTTTTGACACGATTCTCTCCCCCAGGTCAAGGATGCTCTATAAATGATTGGTTTTCGGTTTACAAACCGGCTAAATCTTAGAATTTTCTTTAAATCTAAATTCAACGAAATTCTTTAAATCTAAATTCAAAAAATCATGGAAGCTTCACAGTATGATAATGTTTTTAACTATTTATCCCGAAAGGAATATCCTCCTGATTTTGTGAATAAAGAAAAATATGTTTTACGGAGAATGTACAAGAAGCTCTCGCTCGAACGGAAACTCACTAGCATCGTGTACTATGGTACGTAGAAGGAGTGGAAAAGAGAGTGGTAATCAGAGGACGTGAAGAGAAGCAAAGGGTCTTTGAGGAGTTTCATTCATCTGTTTTCGCCGGTCATGTAGGGCTAAATAATACAGCAAAGAAATTTTGCATATCGGTATTTTCATGTATTTTGCCACGAGACCAAGAAAAGAACTCGCTTGATTTATTAAATTCGGTAAATAAAATTTTATCTCCTAAAATACCAACGGCAGTAGAGGATCACGCGGTTATAAAATGTACGATAAAGATGTACGATAGAGATAATCCATTTATTTTTCGTTTTTAGCTGGGGGAGAGAATCATGTCAAAGATGTTTCATAGGGAGGGGAGGGGGGAACACAAAACACTAGTGCCCAGTGTTCGGGGGAACACATAACTCGGGGGAACACAAATGCCTGTGACAGCGGCTGCATTCTGATAATAATATTGTACTTCACTTTTCCTTTTATTTTTTCAACCAACCATAAAAATGGATGAAAAGATCGTTCGACTTGCCGATGAAGGATACGTTTCTGCTCTTATAAAAACACTTGCTGAAGTACAACTCGAGGAGGTAGGCACATACAGTGGAACCCCGTTAATAAGGACACCGTTGGGACGGACAAAACTGTCCTTATTAACGGGGTGTCAGAAAAACCGCTGAAAACACATTTTTAACCATTTATTTTTACTGTACTGTAAACCTTGAACTACAATGTTCAATATAACAGCCTAAACTGGAACAAAAAGTGCATTACCGTACAAGAACTACATCCGTATTTACTGAACTGTATTGTACAATTTCATTTTGAGTTGAATTCTGTAAAATAACAATGCAATGCTATTGCGATCTTTATTTGTTGTCTATTTCATTATGCTGTAATAGGAAACTCTACTGCAATGATCAGTGTGTGGTCCGCTGATACACAAAAACTGACAATATAATCCGTATTATGCTCCTTATATCAATAAACAAATACAGTAAAGACGTCTTCAAATTTCAAGTGTCCTAAATGCGGGGTTGATTTTGTATGGAAACTGTCATTCAGGTCCTAGAAATGTGTGCTTTGTACTTATTAACAGGTGTCCTTATAAAGCGGGTTAATTTAACAGAAAATGTATGGAGCTTTCGTTGGGACTTTGAGACCTGTCCTTAATAGCGAGGTGTCCTTATTAAGCRGGTGTCCTTAGAGCGGGGTTCCACTGTATTTCGTTCAGAGAAAGGTTTACACCCGGGGTTTACATTTATGCTTGTTTTCGTTTTCCATCACTTGTGTTCCTTTTTTATTCAGCTTGGAAAATTTTAGAAAAAAGGAACTCTTAAAGAAACGGCAGACACAGTCAATTTTATTCGAGCTGTATTGAAAGGTAAGGGTTTTGTTTAATTAATAACTATTCATTATTATTTTGTTGAAATAATTTAGTGTAAAAACTTTCTTCATCATAGTGCAAGAGGCAAGCATATTAAAAGGTGCTGACACACTTTGCGACATTGCATGCAACATTGCAACCAGACAGTTGCATCGCAACCGGACAGTTGCAGCGTGTGTGTCTACCCCAAACTTGTCGCATGCAACGTTGCATGCAACAAATCTGAAGTTGAATCGCAATCTACTCTTGCAACATTGCGCACAACAAATTTCATCATGTGAACATGGCTGCAACATTACCTGCAACATTTTGAAATTTCCAGCCAATCAGCTTGCACCAAATTTATAACTGCTGACCAAATATCTGACAGGCTGACACAAAGCGATTTTGAGAGTTTTGGTTGCAATGTGTGTCACCCAGATTCAAATTTTTTGCTTGCAATGTTGCGTGCAATGTTGCACTGTGTGTCCATACCTTAATACGATTCTTCTCCACAGAAGAAAGCCTGTGCTTTACAAGTCGTAACATCTCACTTGTGATATAAGATTACAAAGACAAGCCATATGGGTACGGGACCAAACTCGCAGATTACAGGTATACTTTGTAAGAAACAGCTGTTTCTCCACACACAGTCTTCATTACATGACAGTTTCGACATTTAAGAATGGAATATTAAAATTTGAGTTTCAATTTTATTTGTTATTTTACAGATTGGCACTGCTGAAAGGTCTAAGAATATAAGAACTTACAACTTTCCACAGGTATGAAACCAGTGTCAGCTGAGTGGATCTTGTGTCTAATAAAGTTATTATTGTTGTTGTTGTTGTTGTTGTAATTAATATTATCAAACTCATGAATTAATTCATGAATGAGGAAAACACAACAGAAAAAGAGTGATGTAAATCTGATACAAAATTGTGTTCATTTGCATAAACTTTAAGTTGGATTTTCTTGGCCAGATTCACTTTAATTTTGAAAATTTTAGCTAAACACAAAGAAACTAACCTAGACATTTGATAAGTAATCTACAGTATTCATGTCCGTGTTGTACTCATGGTATTGTATTAACACCTATCATGTAATATACACAGTACTAGTGGCTGTGTTGTATTAAATATACAAACTCGAGGTGTAGCCTAGCCATCTAGGTTAGTTCCTTTGTGTTTCACTAAAATTTTAAAAATTAAAGTGAATCTGGCCAAGAAAATCCAACTTTATGTTTATGCAAATGAACACAATTTTGTATCAGATTTACAACACTATTCACAGTCGTGATTTCTGTTGTGTTTTCCTCATGAATTATTAATGAGTTTGACAAATATGTATACATACTTTTTATCTAACAGGATCGTGTAACAGATCATCGGATGGGTTTAAGCTTACATGGAGTAAAGGAATTCCTTAAAGGTGAGGATAAGCTGGAGGACATGATAAATGCTTTACGAACACAAAGTGAGTCTGAAGCAATGCAGAACTTATTAATAAATATTCAACTACAGCAAAAAGCTGACATCAAATACATGACAATACAAGATTACTACAATATCTGTCAAATTTAATTTTGCCACTTTTTATGACTGTATAAAATGTGATGAAGTTAATTAGACTTAAGACTAATTTTGCCTGTATCATGTCTTTGTGCCATTTTTAATCATACCAAGGTAATGTCTATATCTAAGTTCTTAGTTTAATTTAAAAAATTCTTATAACAAGTTTAAGAATTATAACAATGTACAGTAGAGTATTCAAAGTTTTCATCTTCATACAAAATAAAACAATTTCTCAAAAGTTAAAAGATTTGTCATTTTTCGTATATAATTTTTTTTTTAGTATATCAAAATAAACTGTTTTGTTTTCAACTGGAAAATTAAATAAATATGTGCAAATAGACCTCTTTAGTTTAGGCGCAGTGGTTTCTCATTTCATATCATGAGTCATTCCCTTGAGTATTATGTCTATACTGGTAAATGCTTGAGAAAATACATTTGATATGTTGATATAGTTTTGATGAAGAATCTTATTCTTCAAATTAAATCAAATGTTAATTTAAAAAATCTTGTCTAGATTATAAATTTTGTTAAAGAAATGTAAGTTTTTAGTCACCATGGAAACTATGTCAGCCATGGCTCAATAGCTTTGTCAAACACTTCCTTAGAACGGTGCCAATTTTTGTGTTTAATCCCACTAAACGTATAAGTATGAACCCCTCTATTACGATCTAAAGTACGAAGACCAAAGCTGTCTTGGACATAAACCTGAAAGAATATGGTATAACAGAAACTGATAAGAAACCAAGGACTAGTAAGCATGAATGATATAACAATGAGAGTGCTTGCCACAGAATTATTTAGGGTTCTCTGTTATGATTTGAAGGGATTTCTATTTATTCTCTTGAGTTTCTTTACTCTAAAAAGTCAGTATTTTCTAAATTGTAACTGAATAAGTGGATAGTGAACCATCCAGTAAAAATGCTTTTTCAAAATCAATTATTATTCATTGTTCATTTTATTCATACATCCATGTATGCATTAATTTATAATTTCACTAACAGTTAGGTTAGTTTATTCTATACAAATGCAGATAACAAATCAGGCCCRTAGCTAGGGGGGATGCAGGGGGTGCTAAAGGTCCGCTTTTTAAGCAAGTGAGATTTTGGCTGGTATGATATTTTCACGTAAAACCAAGTAAAAAAAAATCAATTTTACTTTAATAATTTATCTATACCTCTATATATGTGTCCTATGGGACTTTAAAAAAATAAAGTATATGGTTGGTCCACTTTTTGTAAATTAGCACCCCCCCAACAAAAATCCTAGCTACAGGCCTGCAAATTATAAGAAAAGTACTTACTAACCTCTTGTTCTTTCATAGACTTTATGTATGAATTATTGGAGCCATAATATCCAAATTGACTGCAAAACAAAATAATGTAATAAATCACATTGTTTCATTAGAAGTGGAACTCTTCACAAGCTTTACAGAAAGACAAATAATTTCCACTAATCAAAATATCCTAGCAACATCTGCTTTACCAAACCTATTCTATATTCAGTATTCAAGAAAATGAAATGGAAATGGAAAATGGAAAAACATTATGCCCACCTATATTGGTTCTGTCAATTCTCCTTCGGTTGATAGTCCATCATATTAGTTGATTCATATTATTAGTGACTGCATGTGTCTAACAATTTATTTAATATAGGCAAAAATATGTACCTTGATTCCCAGGGTGTGATGACTCCATCATCTGGCCCACCAATCAGAATTAAGTTTTTCAACTTTAAAAAGTTTTTCTTCTGAGTTTCATAAGCTGTAAAATAAGAATGTGACAATTCTGATAAGCCTTACATCCTAGATATAAATCATATCCATGCATGTATCTAC